AAGTAAGTCCTTAATTAAGTCCAAACATGAAAGAGAATTGATGTGCTTGAAGTATCGATTATAATTTTTTCTCTCTTTTTTTAGATCATATTTTCTGCTTTTAGATTTGATGACTTCAAGAAAAAGAAATTTCTCCTTTTTATCAAAAACTCTAGGGAACTTACAGTTGGTAGAAGCAAGCAGTCTTGTGGTAACATTATTTTTTAATGCCTGTTAAACCTTTAATAAGCAAGTTTGATTTTACTTTTCATGAGCCAATTTGATCAAACCTTTAGTGAGTTATTTTTTATCTAATTTTCCATAAAACACATTGCATGATTAAAGTTTCTATGAAACATTTTGATCATAACTTCCTACCATCCAAAACTTAAGATAATGATTCAAGTGGAACAAACAATCAACACAGGATAACTAATGTTTCGACCCTAACAAGTCTTCTTCAGGGTTATAAAATATCCCAACATCCATTTTGATCAAATTTCCCCTGAACCAGTTTGATATAATTTCTCATTAAACAGATTGTTATAATTTCCCATGTACCAGTTTGATCTAATTTACTATTGACCTGTATGACATAACTTCCTATGAACCAGTGTGATATAATTTCCTATGAACCAGTGTGATATAACTTCCTATGAACCAGTGTGATATAACTTCCTATGAACCAGTGTGATATAACTTCCTATGAACCAGTTTGATATAACTTCCTATGAACCAGTGTGATATAACTTCCTATGAACCAGTTTGATATAACTTCCTATGAACCAGTTTGATATAACTTCCTATGAACCAGTTTGATATAATTTCCTATGAACCAGTTTGATATAACTTCCTATGAACCAGTTTGATATAACTTCCAATGAACCAGTTTGATATAATTTTCTATGAACAAGTTTGATATAACTTCCTATGAACTTGTTTAATATAACTTCCTATGAACTTGTTTAAAAAAAAAATCACAAGTAAATTTAAGTGCAGTTTTTCTGGTCCATAACTTCTGCATGTATGAATGGAACTTGCCATTTAGAAGAAGACTTGTGTCACTGAGTCAATGGTCACAGCTGGGACTTGGACTTTGTGTATTATAATATTAGTGCAGATTTTCTTTTATCTACAATGTATTTCAAAACATCACAAACATAATTATACTTTCAATACTGATTCAATTCATATTTGGTACAAAGTCTATAATACATGCCTGTAAACTTACAAATAAACACCATTCAAACACCATGAAAATAACTTTAAAAACTGCCTACTTCAAGCCCATCCTTTTTATATAGACAAATGTCTAGTTCATGGGTATTATCACTAGTCTTTTCACTTCTTTGAAGCAGATTCATGTTCATAAGATACATGAAATCAAAGATAATCCTGTTTAATCATTTCTTTTAATGTTAAACAGTTCACTGCCTTAAAGAAGTAAGTACCAAAGATCTCGGACAATATAATAACACAAGAAGTACATATACGATGATTATAAAAGATTGTACTTTCTATGAGCATGGTATACTTCCTGTACCAGTCATCTCTTACTTTTATATGTATAAATCTCATAATCAATATAAAGTACATCATAATCCACTTATTTAAATCATCCGCTCATGGCAATTAAAAAACAATCCAGTATAATTTAACATTAACTCGTTGATCACAAGGGGAAATCATTAGATATCAATGTAACCCAATGTTCAAATGTTTTTTCATCTAATGTCAAACCCATTTTTGTTGACCTAGACTAGATATAATGTGAGTAAGACTGGGCCTAGACTAGGGTTACTGTGAGATAGACTTATATACATGTCTTGTAGGCATGCAAATAGATTTACTGTGAGTAGGAAGGACTTATATAATTGTCTTGTCAGCATGCAAATAGATTTACTTGAGTAAAACTTATATACCTGTCTTATAAGCATGCAAATAGATATACTGTGAGAAGGAATTATATACCTGCCTTGTAAGCATGCAAATAGATTTACTATGAGAAGGAATATACCTGTCTTGTAGGCATGCAAATAGATTTACTGTGAGTAGGACTTATATACCTTTCTTGTAGGCATGCAAATAGATTTACTGTGAGTGGGACTTATATACCTTTGTCTTATAAGCAAATAGATTTACTGTTAATAGTTTAACAAGATTTCTAGGTCTTGTGACCTAGTTTTTCATCCAAAATGACCCATGTTCGAACTCATCCGAGCAATTAATATTAACTAGACAAGCATTCTGACTGATAACAATTGTGTCAAAATTGTGACCACAAGAGTGCTAACAAGCAAATTCGTTGAATTTATATCCCCCGCCGAGTACTGGTTATTATTAACACAACAACTGAAGACATGAGGCTTTATCTATATATTAATCATGGCATAAACAGTAATATTCTTTGAACTTGATAAATATTCAGGGCAATAACAGGGCCATAACTTTGTGTTATATAGTAAAATCTGGAAATGCCAATGAGATGTATGCATACTACATAACTAATCAAGGGCCATCAATCTGAGTTATAAGTATCTGACTGGAACAAGGCGACTATATGCATATCTCCTCTTAGTATCCCATAAAGTTTCATTGAATTCCAGCCAGTAGTAGCAGAGAAGTAGCGAGGAAACAAATATTTTTCTTTATGGATACTGCATAACTAATCAAGGGCCATAACTCTGACTTAAAGTGTCTGACCGGAACAAGCTGACGATATGCGCATCTCCTCTTGGTATTGAAGGTTCCCATAAAGTTTCGTTGAATTCCACCCAGTAGTTGCAGAGAAGTAGTGCGGAAACGATTTTTACTCTATATGCATACTACATAACTAAGCAAGGGCCATAACTCCGAGTTAAAGTGTCTGACCAGAACAAGCCTACGATATGCGCATCTCCTCTTGATATTGATGATTCCCCTAAAGTTTCGTTTAATTCCAGCCAGTAGTTGCAGAGAACTACACCGGAAACAAAATTTTACTCTATATGCATTCTACATAACTTATCAAGGACCATAACTCTTGAGTTAAAGGGTCTGACCGGAACAAGCTGACGATATGCGCATCTCCTCTTGATATTGATGATTCCCATAAAGTTTCGTTGAATTCCAGCCAGTAGTTGCAGAGAACTACTCCGGAAACGAAATTTGGACGGACGGACGAACGGACGGACGGTCAGATGCGCATCTCCTCTTGATATTGATGATTCCCATAAAGTTTCGTTGAATTCCAGCCAGTTGTTGCAGAGAACTACTCCGGAAACGAAATTCGGACGGACGGATGGACGGACGAACAGAAGGACGGACAACGCCAAAACTATATCCCCCTCCCGATTCCATCGGCGGGGGATAACAAGGTTTTTCCATATTTGGACAGTATGGCTTAGTTTTTGCCCCCATGTGACCCTTTTTTGAACTTCACCTAGAAATCATCAAACCAGGACCCCTACCTCCAGGGTCAAGGTCGCACTTGCTCATTCAAGGTCAACATTGTCTATTTGAGGGTATATGTCGTGTCCGGTCCATAACTTTCTTATCTTTGAAGGGATTTTGTAAATACTTGCCACAATTGTTCACAATAATGATATGATGTGTTATGCGCAACAATCGGTCACCTACCTTCAAGGTTAAGCTCACACTTGGAGGTCAAAGATTAGCATAGTCTGTTACAGGGTATATTTTGTGTCCGCTCCATAACTTTTTCATATATCAAAGGATTTTGAAAATACTTGGCACAAATAGTCACTATAATAAGACGATGTGTCATGCACAAAACCTGCATCCCTACATCCAAGGTCAATGTCAAGGTCAATTTCAAGGTCAAAAATTAACAGTCTGTTAAAGGGTTTATATTGTGTCCGATCTAGAACTTCTTCATAGTTCAAGGGATTTTGAAATAACTTGGCAAACAAAGTCATAATAATAAAATGATATGTCAAGTACAACACCTGTACCCGTACCTCCAAGGTCAAGGTCACACTTAGAGGACAAAAGTTAACAGAGTCATATAGGTATATTTTGTGTCCCCTCCATAACTTCTAAAATTTATAGATCAAGGGATTTTGAAAATACTTCGCACAAATAGTCACAATGATAAGATGATATGTCATGTGTAACACCAGTGTCCCTACCTCACTTAAGCCACATGTGGAGGTCAAAGATTTACATAGTCTGTTATAGGGTATATTTTGTGTCCGGTCCATAATTTTTCATAGATCACGGGATTTTAAAAATACTTTGCACAAGTAATCACAATAATAAGACGATATGTCCGGCCTAAAACATGGGTCCGTACCTCCAAGGTCAAACTAAGAGGTCAAAGATTAACATAGTCTGTTAGAGGGTATATTTTGTATCTCATCTATAACTTCTTCATAGTTCAAGGGATTTTTGAAAAAAACTTGGTACAAATAGTAACAATAATAAGACGATATGTCATGCACAACACCTGGACCCCTACCTCCAAGGTTAAGGTCACAATTAGAGGTCAAAGCTTAACATTCATTTTATTTCTTTAATAAATTTATTGTTGCATTTTCAGATCTAGCATTGATCATAATTTTGGACTGAAAGTCCTTAGGTCCATACCTCAATCTTTTGAAATAGCACAATTTTATGCTTCATATAAAACTTCCCCGAGGCGGGGGACGTTGGTAACTTTGTTACAAATTCTTGTTGATAATAATATGCTGCTTGCTTTAAAATCTTTAAGTCTGTAAATAATAACATTGTTACTATCCTCCTATGCCATCTTTTTAAAAATTGCAAAGAGTTTGCAAAATTGGCATATTTTGTGAGCTTGTCTTCATCATCTGAATTAAAACACAGATAAACAATTTTTAAATAAATATGTCAATTTTACTTTCATCATACACCAGACATGAATAGAGCATTTTAAGAAATCAAAATATTACTTCTGCATTTCTTTAATTATAACCACTGAAAATATAAAAGTGTTTTCTTAATCTGTGGTCCAGCTGATCATTATCAGTTTTCATTTCTTGTTAAATGATATTTTCATGGAAAAACATTTATATTTAAAATTGTTCAGGTTATTTACTTCCGCCTGTTTATTGCTTTATAAAAAGCATAATGTTAAACCAAGCTGATGTAAATACTAAAAACTGTGTATTTAAGGACGGTTGATCATTTGGAAGTTAGATGTAGACAAAAATTGTAGATGATAATTTTACATAGACAGGAATAAGTTAAGTATCATTACATGAGTAAAACTTGAGAACTGTGATTAAATGTTACTGTAAAGTATTATGTTTAAAATGACTGTGAAATGAAATTGGGACAGCTTTATTGGTGAATAGTTCAGTTCAGATTACACATTTGAATAAAATATCTACAAAATGGCTACTGGTAAACAAATAGATACAGATATTCTTTCCGATGAAATAATTGATGTATCATGTTCAATGTGTGAAAATAAAGGGAAAAATACTGAAGGTGAAAAATACTGTGTAGACTGTAAGGATTATTTCTGTATAACTTGTGTTCAAGTACATGGTCAAGTTCCTCTGTGTGCTCATCACAAGGTGCTGGATAAATCTCAAGTTAAGTCAGGATCGATCAGCAAAGGTCTACCGAGGGCACCAACAGAGAGATGTGACAGACACAGTCATAAACACATTGATATGTACTGTCAGAACCATGATAATGTTGGCTGTTCTACATGTATGGCAGTTGATCACAGGTAAAATTTAATTAACATATAAAAAAGATTATTTTTTCAATTAAAAAGACATTATGTTGTTTTTTTTTCATTGTTAAAATCAGCTTTTTTATTTCGTATAATGTCATTTAAATATATGAAATGTTTAATAGGTACTTACAACATAATATTCTATCTTAAATACTAATATGTAGAAGAGAATAAAAATATTTAATATTACATCCTCAGTCATTCCATAGTCTTATATTCACAAACTGTCTTACCTTATTTTTCAGATTATGCAAGGACATATTCTACATACCAGAATTTATCCAAAACAATACTTACCAAGTTGCAACCAGAGAAATTCAAACAAAACTCAAGGAAATAACCAAGACCCTTGCTAAACAAGCTGATATATTTAAAAAGGATAAACAAAGGCTGCTGAAGAGGAAAACAGAAATACTAGCTGATATCAGAAAATTCCGTCAAGAAATCAATGACCATCTTGACAAGATGGAGAAAAGTTCTATAGATGACATAGATGATAAGGTCAAAAGTCTTGAAGACAAGATTGAAGACAGTCTCAAACAACTACATGCAAACAAGTCCAGGGTTACATCAGCTAATGATAAATTAGCATCTACAAACACAAATAAAGCTGAAGTATTTGTTCATGTTAAGATGGCAGAGGATGCTGCAAATGTTGCCAACAAATATATAGAAGATGCAAAATTTAAAAGTACTTTGGAAGACATAGACTTTCAACCTGATAGAACAATTCTTACACAGCTAGAACAAAAGAAGACCCTGAAAAAGAAACATACAAAAACGTCTGTCAATTTATTTCAGATTAAAGGAAATAAATCATATAATGTAAAAGTTAAGAATGATAAAAGTGGTTGTTGTATCCGGAATGCCTGCTTTATGGAAGATGGTACAATAATTCTATCTGATCAATACAACAACAAGCTCAAACGGTTACACAGTTACAACTATACTGTCACAGACTGCTGTGATCTACCTGGAGGGCCATGGCAAGTGTGTATGATCAATAACACACAAGTAGCAGTCACTTCATTACAAAAGGAAGTTCATTTCATTTCTCTTAGTGGTAAAATGAAAACAACAAACAAATTAAACACTGATTTTAAATGTTCTGGACTTGCATTCGCAAACAATAATTTATATATTTCAGACCTTTACACATCAGTATATATGTATACATTATCTGGTAGGAAACTTAAACAGTTCAGTAAAGATCAATCAGGACATATGCTGTTCTGTGAAATAACCAGTGTAGCTGTCAGTAAGGATGCTACAAGGATTTATGTTGCTGACTATCTTAATGGACTGATAGTACTAGACAACAATGGCCAGGTTATTACATCATTTATTGGTGAACAATTAAAGGGGGCTTCTTGTTGTTATCTCACAGAAGCAGGTAGTGTGCTGGTATCTGGATATGGCTCCAATAATGTTTTACAGTTTACATATGATGGTGAGCTGATGGGTGAGGTTATAAAAGCTGATAGTAGAAAAAGTAGAATATGTTCAGTCTGTTGTAATCAACAAATGTCAAAGATGTGTATAAGCAGATATGAACATGACAACATTGAAGTACATGATATCTAATCCTTTAAGTAAATAAATGAACAACTATCAACAAAAATATTATTTAAAGAATATCCTGATTCATATGTAAAATTCAATATTGAAACATAAAATGTAAGAAGAAAAACATAGAAACTTAAATAATGTGATTGTGACAAGTACATGTATAGACATGTTCAATATGTAATGATGCAAGTTTAGTTTAATTCATTGTGAATTAACTTGAACTATTTTGTAAACATTTCTTTTGTTTATCATCTTGCATTATGATTTATATCAAGATTTATATATTTTTTAAATTGTATGTTGTGTAAATGAGACTGTGTTTATGAGTGAAATAAATGTAGAATTAAACAATTTTTTTGCATCTATATTTGGATTTCATTTCTGTGACTTAATAGTTGCGTAATTTTATGTGCTTTCCTTCTTTTAAACTACACTGTATTTATCACAATTGTCTAAATACAGGCATGTCTGTTAGAAAATTTTCACAAGTTGGGACAGTCAGAGTGTTGATCAGAATTAGTCTGGCTTCATATAATAGGTGTGAAATTCTGTCATAAATGTATAATCGGGACCAAAATTTACTACGAAAAGAAGAAACATTAACTTTAAATTTGCCTTAATTTGTTTAATTTGATCAGCAAGTTTGATATTGCTTTTCATAAGCTTTTCATAAGCCAATTTGATGAGCCATTTTTTTATATCTAATTTGCCATAAAACACTTTGATCAAAGTTTCTATGAAACAGTTTGATCAAAACTTCCCACCATCCAAAACTTAAGATAATTAATCCAGTGGAACAAACAATCAACACAGAATAACTGATGTTTCCACCCTCACAAGTCTTCATCAGGGATATAAAATATCCCAACATCATGTTTGATCCAATTTCCCATGAACCAGTTTGATCTAACTTCTCATTAAACAGATTGTTATCATTTCCCATGAACAAGTTTGATCTAACTTCTCATTAAACAGATTGTTATTATTTCCCATGAACCAGTTTGATCTAACTTCTCATTAAACAGATTGTTATCATTTCCCATGAACCAGTTTGATCTAACTTGTCATTAAACAGATTGTGATCATTTCCCATGGACCAGTTTGATGTAACTTTCCATGGACCAGTTTTATCTAATTTACTATGGACTAGTATGACATAACTTCCTATGAACAGTATGATATAACTTCCTATGAACCAGTTTGATATAACTTCCTATGAACTTGTTTGATATAACTTCCTATGAACCTGTTTGATCAAACTTCCTATGAACCAGTTTGATATAACACCCTATGAACTAGTTTGATATAACTTCATATGAACCAGTTTGATATAACTTCCCATGAACCAGTTTGATTTAATTTCCCATTAACCAGTGTGATTTAATTTCCCATGAACCAGTTTGATATAACTTCCTATGAACCAGTGTGATATAACTTCCTATGAACCAGTTTGATATAACTTCCTATGAACCAGTTTGATATAACTTCCTATGAACCAGTTTGATATAACTTCCTATGAACCAGTTTGATATAACTTCTCATGAACCAGTTTGGTATCACTTCCCATGAACCAGTTTGATATAACTTCCTATGAACCAGTTTGATATAACTTTCTATGAACCAGTTTGATTTAATTTCCCATGAACCAGTTTGATATAACTTCCCATGAACCAGTTTGATATAACTTCCCATGAACCAGTTTGATATAACTTCCTATGAACTTGTTTGATATAACTTCCTATGAACCAGTTTGATATAACTTCCTATGAACCAGTGTGATATAACTTCCTATGAACCAGTTTGATATAACTTCCTATGAACCAGTTTGATATAACTTCGTATGAACCAGATTGATATAACTTCCCATGAACCAGATTGATTTAATTTCACATTAACCATTGGGATTTAATTTCCTATGAACTAGTGTGATATAACTTCATATGAACTAGTCTGATATAACTTCCTATGAACCAGTTTGATCTAATTTACTATGGACCAGTTTGACATAACTTCCTATGAACCAGTTTGGTAAAACTTCCCATGCACCAGATTGACATAACTTCCTATGAACTTGTTTGATATAACTTCCTATGAACCAGTTTGATCTAATTTAATATGGACCAGTATGACATAACTTCCTATGAACCAGTTTGATCTAATTTACTATGGACCAGTATGATATAACTTCATATGAACTAGTCTGATATAACTTCCTATGAACCAGTTTGATCTAATTTAATATGGACCAGTATGACATAACTTCCTATGAACCAGTTTGATCTAATTTACTATGGACCAGTATGACATAACTTCCTATGAACCGGTTTGATAAAACTTCCTATGAACTGTGTTTGATATAACTTTCTATGAACCAGTTTGATATAACTTCCTCTGAACCAGTTTGATATAACTTCCCATGAACCAGTTTGATTTAATTTCCCATTAGCCAGTTTGATTTAATTTCACATGAACCATGAACAGTTTGATATAACTTCCTATGAGCCAGTGTGATATAACTTCTCATGAACCAGTTTGATATAATTTTCTATGGACCAGTTTGATATAATTTCCTATGAACTTGTTTGATATAACTTTCTATGAACCAGTTTGATATAACTTCCTCTGAACCAGTTTGATATAACTTCCCATGAACCAGTTTGATTTAATTTCCCATTAGCCAGTGTGATTTAATTTCACATGAACCATAAACCAGTTTGATATAACTTCCTATGAGCCAGTGTGATATAACTTCTCATGAACCAGTTTGATTTAATTTCCTATGGACCAGTTTAATACAACTTCCTATGAACCTGTTGGATCTTAAGTATTTTTCTGATATTTGTAAATTTTAATTCCATAACTTCTGCATGTATGGATGGAACTTGCCATTTAGAAGAAGACTCATGTCACAGAGTCAATGGTCACAGCTTGGACTTGGACTTTGTGTATTTTAAAATTAGTGCAGATTTTTCTTTTACCTATAATGTATTTCAAAACTCATAATTTCACGAACATAATTATATTTTCAATACTGATCCTATTCATATTTGGTACAAAGTCTACAATACATGCCTGTAAACTTACAAATAAACACCATGAAAGTAACTTTAAAAACTCCCTACTTCAAGCCGATGTGAGGGCATCCTTTTTTATGGACAAATGTCAAGTTCATGGGTATTAAGTCTTTTAACTTCTTTACAGCAGGTTCATGTTCATAAGATACATGGAATCAAAGTTAATCCTGTTTGATCATTTCTTTTAATGTAAAACAGTTCACTGCCTCAAAGAAGTAAGTACCCAAGATCTCGAACAATATAAAAACAAAAGAAGAACTCATACGAGGATTATAAAAGATCGTACTTTTCATATTAACTGTTACAGTAGTTAATGAGCATGGTATACTTCCTGTACCAGTCATCTCTGACCTTTAAATGTATAAATCTCATAATCAATATAAAGTACATCATAATCAATAATTTAAATCATCCTCATTCTAATCGACTCATGGCAATTAAAAATCACTCTAGTATAATTTTACATTAACTCGTTGATCACAAGGGGAATTCATTAGATGTCAATGCTAACAAATCTTCATATGTTTTTGTTTTTTCATCTAACGTCAAACCCATTTCTTGGAGACCTAGACATAAAACTACTATATTGAGCCAAATGGCTGCTTCCTAGGTTTTCTGACCAGTAATCGTACAAGTGTGGATGATGAAAGTCTCTGCTGAGATTTAAACTACAATCTTTAGCTTAGGAGTCTGGTTCTCTGCCCCCTACTACAGTCATCTTCACACATATGCAGTAGTCAAAGATAAAATACTTTATGCAACCATACACCCTAAAAAATATTTTTGATAATTTAAATGCTCATGAAATTTGCCCCCAAAATAATATCAGATAAAGATCATTGAAGTGATCACTACAAAAACTTGATGCAAATTGAACTTCAGGGGAAACCTGCATGATTTAAAAGAATTTTTCAGGGAGGAAGTAAACCTTATTAAATTGCCCCTGCTAGAGTAGAAAAACAAGAACCGGTTGAACAGGGTGATGATCCCCGAGAAGGTTTTGGATACATGAAAGTATAAAAAAATAAACAAAGGGCAATAACTCCAAATTATTTTTTTGCACTGCACTTCTATTTAATGAGATCTATCTATCTATAAAATTTCGTGATGATATCTCTTATAGTTTCAGAGTTATGTCCCGGGAAAAATTGGAGGTGTAAAAATGAAAAAAGGGCAATAACTCCAAAATTAGACAAGGCTGTGTTTAGGTTCTTTAGCATTGCAATTTAATCCAATGAGATCTATCTACGTACAAAGTTTCATGTTGATATCTCTAAGTGTAAAAATAAACAAAGGGCAATTATTCAAAAATTAGGCATGGTAGAGTTACGGTTCTTGTGCACTGCACATTAATTCAATAAGATCAATCTACCTACAAAGTTTCATGTTGATACCTCTTATAGTTTTAGAGTTATGTCCCGGACAATGTTCAAAGTGTAAAAATAAACAAAGGGCAGTAATTCAAAAAATAGGCAAGGCAGAGTTACAGTTCCCACTCAATGAGATCTATCTACCTACAAAGTTTTATGTTGATACCTCTTGTTGTTTAAAAGTTATGTCCCGGACAAGAAAAGCGGGCGGACGGACGTACTCACAAAATGGTACTTATGTGACTTTTCCTTTGATCTTTTTGGCCATTTTTAGTCACACAAGGCTTAAAAAAAGAAACACAAGTAAAAACGCATTTTTAGTGAATTTTTTTTAATTAAAGAAAGTAATCTTACAGAATTAATAAAAATTCTTAATAAAGACTTTTGACAGGTTATATGGCCATGTTGGCTTGTGGTTGTTTGCTATATAACCCTCACTTGGGTCATATAAGTTATACAAGGCTATATGACCCATCAAATATCTTTAAATCTAGTAAAATATTATTACCTGCGTACAACATAGACAACAAGAGCTGTCCGTAAGACAGCGCGCTCGACTTTTTTAGTGCTTGCCTATAATACAAAACATTGACAGTTAAGGGCCATAATTCAAATAAAATCTTTGACAGAATTACCTTCTCCTGGACATGTTTGGGAATCATGATTGTAAACAAGTATTCCAACTTTCAAATTAATATCTCAAACAGTTCAGTCAAAAAGTGGACTGGTACTAAAAACTTAACCAAGATTCTAAGTCGATAAAAGGCCTTAATTTTTAAAACAAATCCTTGACAGAGTTACCTTCTCTTGCGTACAGATGGGGGTAATGATGTGAAATAGCATTAAAAGTTTCAAAGCAATATCTCAAAGGGTTAAGGCAATAAGTGGATTTTACCCATATTCAATGTATTTTCTAAGTCAAAAAGGGGCATAATTCTGTCAAAAACCTTGACAGAGTTATGTCCTCTTGTCTGTTGATGAAGGTCGTGATGGTAAACAAGTATGGTCAGTTTCAAAGCAATACCTCCAATGGTTTTGAAATAAAGTGAGGTGGTACAAAAAAACTTAACCAAGATTCTAAGTCGATAAAAGGCCTTAATTTTTAAAACAAATCCTTGACAGAGTTACCTTCTCTTGCGTACAGATGGGGGTAATGATGTGAAATAGCATTAAAAGTTTCAAAGCAATATCTCAAAGGGTTAAGGCAATAAGTGGATTTTACCCCCATATTCAATGTATTTTCTAAGTCAAAAAGGGGCATAATTCTGTCAAAAACCTTGACAGAGTTATGTCCTCTTGTCTGTTGATGAAGGTCGTGATGGTAAACAAGTATGGTCAGTTTCAAAGCAATACCTCCAATGGTTTTGAAATAAAGTGAGGTGGTACAAAAAACTTAACCAAGCTCAATACACTTTCTAAGTCAAAAAAGGGCCATAATTCTGTCAAAAACCTTGACAGAGTTATGTACTCTTGTCTGTAGATGGAGGTTATGATGGTGAACAAGTATGGTAAGTTTCAAAGCCATACTTGTAATACTTCTGAAATAAAGTGGGGTGGTACGAAAAACTTAACCAAGGTGTGACGCCAACGCTAACGCTAACGCTAACGCCGACGCCGACGCCGGGGCGAGTAGGATAGCTCCCCTTTTCATAGAAAAGTCGAGCTAAAAATGACATGAGACAAAGAAAAAAAGTATTGCATAATTCACATATATGTGTAATCTGGGATTAGGTTATTGACCTGAATGTCATTACATGACATTTAATAATAGATTGAATATCAAAATTACAAGGAAGTATTATTATCTAATCCTCATAGATTTTTTTTATACAAAATCCCATTCAGCGTAATTAAACACACTGACTACAATATAGTTCGCACATTATTCACGCCAGACAAATCAAGATAGTCTTATAATCACCCTATATATAATTATTTTTGAAATTAATTCTCATACTTATGCATTTACATTTAATTAAAATATTGTGGCTCTGCAAACAATCTAATTAAATTCTGTCACAATATTGAGAATTCAATCCTAAAATTTCCCTTAACAACAAAATTTTTCTCAAACGTTTTCAGATATACTTTTATATCAGAAATTTATTGAAATCTAGGAAAATTCAAACTGAAAATGTATAATTTGAACAGGAGAATGCATAAAATGTTTAGGAAGTTTAAATTACTGGTTAAGTTTATATACTGCCGGTTTTTTTATGACACTAAGTATCCATATTGTGTTACGTCTGACATGTAGAGTTTAAAACGTAATATTTCTTCTCTGTGTGTATTCAAAGGATGCTAATTTTTCATTCAAAAAGGGACTGCAAAGCAATTATCACTATATTCAATTATCAAATTTGAGCATAATATATTTTTAAAGAAAGAAAGAAACGAACGAATCATCAAAAAGGTTTGTCATATATTTGCCTCTTTTTTTTAAATTAATTATATCACATTTATAAAGTTATTTCCTATTTGAAGATGAGACTGAAAGAAAGGTTGTTCTGGAGATCATGTAAAAGCCAACATGTTTTTTCTTCTTTATTCACAATACAGGTATGTAACACTTTATCATAACATACAGGTAAGCCTGAATGCTAAATCAATGAAATTACCTAGTTCTGTAGCTCAAATACAATCCACTTGAAATCAGGAATATCAATTTTACCATAAGAATAATGGTATTTTACAAAGTAGTTATCAATCATAACGTCTAGAATAAACGTTTCAAATGTAACATATAGAATTAATGTTTCAAATGAAACATCTAGAATAAATGTTTCAAATGTAACGTCTACAATAAAATTTTAAATATAACGTCTAGAATAAATGTTTCAATTGTAACATATAGAATAAATGTTTCAAATGTAGTATAAAGAATAAATGTCTCAAATGTAACATAGAGAATAAATGTTTCAAATGTAACATTTCAACTGTAACATATAGATAGATTAAATGTTTCAAATGTAACATCTAGAATAAATATTTCAAATGTAACATCTAGAATATTTTAAATGATTCAAATGTAACATCTAGAATAAATGTTTCAAATGTAACGTCTAATAAATGTTTTAAATGTAACGTCTAATAAATGTTTCAAATGTGACATAAAGATTAAGTGTTTCAAATGTAACAACTAGAATAAACGTTTCAAATGTACTATTGTGTACAGTATCTCATTGTTGTAAAAAATCTATTACTCAAAACAAGCAATTATCATAGTATTGCAAGCAATCCATAAGTCCTCTACCGGTTAGAACCAAACAACATTCTGAAGGGCCATTGGTCATTGAATTATGTCATTGAATGAATGAATGACATGAATAAACCTAAATCTTTTGAGTTCTTAGTTTGTCTTATCTAAGTTATATGTTAATCAAAAGATCCAATTATCTCAAGATGAATATGTATAACTGATGTTTCAACTTTTCTCTATTTTAAGTAAATTTGTGTCTCAGGAAACAGTTTTTAGAAACAGGCAGACAGACCAACTGACAGAGGCTTTGAGGATAAATCTTTAAACAACCCTGGTTGTTACCAGAATATAACATTTTTAAAAGCAAAATTCTGAAACTAAGATGAAATAAGTCTTGAAATAATTAAAGATGCTAGACTTATAAACATTTTCATACATGATGTTAGTGTAACAAAGAACAATTATCTCAAGTTTATAAAAGAAACCATTGATTATCACAAAAAAGAACAGTAAACAGAAAGAAGAAAATTAAAAGAAAAATCAAAAAGATTTCAAGTTGAAATGAAAATAATCATGAAAACACATGTCTTATAAATCTAATCACATATGAAGTAGGTCTTGATAATGAAGGTCTTTTTTAAATTTGAAGTAAATAAATAGAGAAATAAGAAAGTTAAAGAATCAGAGTAACAACAATTCAAAGTTTAAGAAGGAGATAATTCTGGAAATATGGACGCTAGATTTATAACTCAGAATTTATCTACCAAAATGCAATCTGGTAGATCAAAATGTAGTCAACCTAAGAACTTCAATTAATATAGAGAAATTTTTGCCCATGATTATGTTGCACCCAAAAACCAAAATAAATGACTTCATTCAGCAAAAAATAACATTGTGTGTGAACACGTGACTTTTTTGTTTACGGTATCATTAGGCCATCACTAATGGTATTTGCTTATAGGTGTTATCCAGAACTCAGCAAATGTGGGTTTTTCCTAGCTAATTCATAGGTACAAACTTTTACTGTTATAGCTTCACAGTGCATTACCTGTCACAATAGTAAATCTGTTGTGCTTATTTTCAAAGCTGCAACTGTATGAACCTACGGATTAGCTGGGAAAAACTCAAATATTCTTAATTACGGAGTAGGTCTATTTTTCAATATATTTTTTAATATTTGAAAAATTCAATATTTGAAAAATAAACAAGTACCATATTCCAGGTAACTATTTACTGTTTCCATTTTAAATATTTATCTTCCTATTGTAGTGGTGTGTGTGTATTATTCAAATATTGAAAGATATAGCAAAAAATTAACAAATACCATAAACAGTGACCAAGTGCCATGTGATCACCAACCCTGTAATAATCTACATATGAAAATAGGAGTCTAATCTTCGTATCTTTGGAAAATTGACTTTTTGAATACACTTCAAATTGTCTTCAGTATCCATATTTTGGGTTTATGTTTCCAGAAGAAGAATGGCAGCTTATTTCTGTCAATATGTAACCCATCAAATCCTTCCACTGTGTCTATTACAATATGGCTATTTTCATAATATTTTAAGTTAGTAGAATTTCCAATTATAAGATGAGAGTATGACATCATTTCTGACCCCCCTGGCACTAAGTCTTCAGTTTTATTATATCTGAAAATAAGAAATAAAATTTGTTCAAATTATGCCAATAGATAAATACATGTATATACCGATCAAATTAGGTAGAAATTATAACATTACAAAGTTTGATTTGGTAGGAAATTATAAGCTAAGAGACACATTCTTGAATCTGTTCCTTGAACAAACCGGTACTGAGCAATGAAACAAAGGCTTGCCCCGAACTGGGTTTGAGCCACCAAATATAAGCAATCGTAAGATTATTAGTCCAAGACAACAACAGAAGAGTTATATACTTTTCTTCTCTGACCATTTAAGATACTTGTCAAAATATGTCTCATGAAATAGGTAATCAAATTTAAAGCTGGTAACCTAAAATTTATGCTATTTTTATGTTCAAAATACTTAAAACTATTGCTCAGTGAACAAATAAAGCTTGTCAAAGACACTATCCACAAAGATTATTTATAACATGTCAAATTATGCCAACACAACACTTATACCATTAGTAATAAGGTAGAAATATGATGATAAAAGTAATAAAACATACAAAATGTCACATGGAATTGTATACACATTACTGACACTTGGTGCGTATTTCTTTTAAAACTTGATTTTTATGACCTGTAGGGATAGGGGTTGGGGCAGGATCCCTGGTTGCGCTGTCTGTAGACTGACAATACAGTGGAATGTAGGGGCATCCATGTCTTAAATAGTTTTCAATTAAGAGGAATGTACCTTTAAAGCTGCACGCCTCCAGAAAGGCCAAATTATTTCAAGAAATTAAATCTTTAGAAAAATGTATAAATATTTTTTTTAAAAAAGTAGAAGGATTCAATATTTAATTAATTATTTTCATGTTATGTGCGATTAATGACTGATTGAAGTATCAATCACTATCATTCTACTGCTTTAGTAATGCAGTAAAAGGTATTTATGTATATTTTGACCTCTTTTTTTTGTAATTTACTTGGATTGTAAGTGCGTTTGTTATGCGTAAATTACCTTCTTTGTTCACTTCACAATATTTTACTTTTAAATACATGTTCAAAATTTTCATGAAAATAAGCAAGAATCTGGAGGCATGCTGCTTTAATATTTTTGAAACAGATTTCAAATAAGGAACTTACATCCAATCGGGATACAATTGACCAAATCTTGTTATTCCTGTCTGTGCCGCGGCAACATCAATATGTACATGTATAGCTGGAAACAAAAAATTAATTTATCACCATTGGTAATATGACCTTAACCTCCTCCAATCGAATGTCATTCTAATGAAAGGTTATCTAACATATTATTTGCAAATAGCACATCCAGCATTATTGTATTGAAACTGATTCAAAATTCGATTTTAATCATAAATGATTTACGAGTAAAAACTTAATAATAAGTGTTAATTTTCATGTACGTTATACATAATACATTTTAGGCAGTACTGACCTTGGCCCAGGACGCTTCTGTTAATTAAGGTTAAATTTATAATATACAAAGCTATGACAAACTTAACGAAAGAAGTTCAGGTGATATATTTCTGATACAAAAATCAAAAACAACCATAAAAAATGCCACTTTTAGTTTTACTTTGAACCTACGGTAGACAATGCTTGGAAAAAATCTGTGATAATATATACTTGGCTTTTTTTAAGGCATTGAGTTCATAATGTAATAAAATTGGGTATTAGGTAAATAGGCTGATAGTTGTGATACCCTAAATCTTATATAAGCTCTTGCATTTAAACCTAATGATCGTGTACTGTGCATTATCTTGATTAAAATCTACCTGATGTTGGTGCTTCGATCTCATGAAATCTCCGCAATGCCTCACCACCTGGATAGTTCTGATACGATGTATACAGAAATATCCCCGACGTTAAAATGTTGCCACAAATATGGAGTAGTGCACCAAATGCCAGCAACTTTCTGAGTACAGATTTGTTCCTGTTGATCCATCTGAAATGTATAAAATGTTTGTTAATTTCTTTTCTTATTTTTTTAGATAAGTTTTTGTTTTTGGTAACTGATTCAGTCTTTTTTACCCATTCATGTCCCGAACTGTAAATTGACTGATTACTGTACAGGACCGGCAAAATCTGATTTCGACTTACTTGTCTGTTACTTAAATATAGTAAAGTCTTGAAAGTTTCCACTTGTCGGCACAAGCTGTGGGACAACCTGGGCAGAACTGACAATTTTGCCGTCAATGCTGTAACACAGTGTACTTGCCTTAAACATTTATATCAATTAAAGGAATTTTCTATATATATATGATGGCGGCTTACTTTTCACATTATGTATAAACCTGAAGAATATACTAATAAAAACACACTTTTTTGGAAGAAAATTAACAATTATTATATGAAAATATCTTTTTCTCAGCCTTAAATCAAGGTTAAGATAAAATGCCAAAAGAAATCCATATTCATATTCCATACTCTTTATTTCAGACAGGTATAATTAACATACCAGTATTGAAGGACACATACATGATTCTGTGAATGGGACATGTATACCGGAGTCATAATGCAACAAAAAGTGGTAGTACATGTAAAATTTCATATTCAAACTGAGCAAGTATCAAAGCTGTTAAATTGGTACGTTAGTTTCACACATTGATGTGGCATTCATGTAAAAGTGGTCTTTGCATATAAGATATAATATCAAAATTAGGTTTAATTTGTAAAGTAAAAAATATATACAGATTTTATGCGAGAAAAGAAAAAGCTATCTGTTTATAGAATTTTTTTTTAGAGAGACAAAAAGCTTGTTTGTTGAATTTTTACTCCAGATCACTGAATTAAGCCACATTGAATTTACCAGAGCACAGTTCGAACAACTGTAGAAAGGATTTCAATTCAACCACAACGAAAGCGACCTGCACCATCCAGGAATCGAACCCGGATCGCATGATTCACAGTTGAGCTAAACGGACGGCTGAGACAAAAAGCTATCAGTGTTACGGGAAATATACTGAAGGATTTTTGCACATAAGAGCTTCTAATTTACCTCAAGATATCCTTCAATGTAAAACTCTAACAATGTAATGCAGTGTACTTGTAAACTAATTCTTTGGTTGACAATATTTCCTCTGAGTGCCATGTGATATTAAAATAAAATGTGATATTTAAAATAAAATACATTGTATTAATAAATTTTTCGAACATTATGTAGCTTGATGCTACGCTACTGAGGTATCAAAAAAGTAAAATTATGCCTAAATAAAGAAAATATACATTTTTTTTTCAATGCAAAACTACTAATATGTAATATAATTAAATGCTATGTATATAAGAACTTTATATATCAAAATCTGTACCAAGCCATTAACTAGAAACCATAAATAACAATTGTGACTTAATTCAATTTGTTTCGCTATATTATAGCTATATTATCAAAGAAAATTCAAGAGAAAAAAGTCTGCATGAGTATAACAATAAAAAATAAGATCAAACAGTTAACCTCTAAATTATTGGGAAAGTGTAATCCGCTTTTGTTTTTAACCATAATATAATGCTGATTAAACATGCAATCTTTTATAAGCCACTAATTAAAACTTGAGGGAACAATAATTCAATATACTCTTTTTATAGCATATCTTGTATAAAATCAGATAATCTTATCTAGGAAGTAAGTCCTTAATTATGTCCAAACATGAAAGAAAATCGATGTGCTTGAAGTATTGATTATAAATTTTTCTCTTTTTTTTCAGTTCATTATTTCTGCTTTTAGATTTGATGACTTCAAGAAAAAGAAAATTTCTCCTGTTTTATCAAAAACTCTGGGGAAAGTACAGCAAGCAGTCTGGTAGAAACATTAACTTTGATTTGCCTGTTTGATCTAACTTTTAATGAGCAAGTTTGATATTACTTTCCAATTGGAACAATTTGATATTACTTTCCATGACTTTGGAATGCTTTCTTAGACATGGTAAAGTACATAAATAATATGTTTCTTGTGAGTAATATTAATAAATACTGAGTTAAAAACTGATTTATGGATAGAAAACAAAAGAGCATGTAGGTAAGATAGTAACCACACTCGGAATAGGTGTGCATAGTATTTACAGACCCGGTGGCCTTTTAAAAACCTCGATCGCTACGCTCTCTCGGTGTTCAAATCGCCACCCGGGTCAGTAAATACTATGCAGATCTATTCCTCGTACGGTAACTGTTACTTACTATTTGACACTTGCCTTTGTTTGACCATTTGGCACATCAGCACCTTTTTGAAGTTTTTATTGTTTCATTATGTCAAGCTGCCAAATTGTGCAAGACAAATTATCATAAAATGCATAGTCACTTTTACTGACTTAAAATACAATTTTATGTAAATTCAGTTTGGTTGTATTTTTATGTAAAGGTAAAACACAGAGATAAATATTTAGTAATTTAATAATATACGTATACAAATGTACATGATAAGTTTGACTTTTTGTAAATATAAGCTACAAAACATCTTAGCTTGGCAAAAAGAAATTGTCTTATGCTCAAAAGTAATGGTAATGCATTACTTGGTCCAACTAATGGTAATGTACTGCATCACTTGCCCAAAATCAAGTAATGGTACTGGTACTGATACGTACGGCACCAAACCAAATAGTAATGGTAATGGAATGCATTCCTTTTGCAAAGTATAAATGGCCCAAAGCCTGGCTCACAATAGTCTCTTCATGCAGCGTATGCTTATAAGATTTTGTTAGAATCAGTATCAAGAAATGTTTTAATTTTATGAGCCAATCAGAATCATTGTTTTTTATTCATTGCACGGATGGTTTCAATCACTAGTATAAATAGAGCATTCCCAGAGCAAAAGAGTCAGTTTGGTTTCCTCCATAAGGCATATCAGAGCAGTATTATTTTTATTAGTACACAGCAATCTCAGACATTTTGCTAAAAATATCTTACTGTTTCTGTGAAACCTTATGGACAAAAGTTTGATAGAAGAAAGTTTGAGAAATGGGTATTTAAATTAGTCTGAATATGTATGTGTATAGAAGGGAACGACGTAGTAAAGACATACTTGTGTACAGAAATCTCAGATATCTGACAATAAGGACGTTTTACTATTTCTGTCAAACCTCTGGATAAATGTTTAAGTTTAAGTACTTTTGGGAAATAGATATTTGAAATATGTATGGTTATGTCCGTATGGCCTTGAAAGAGTCGGATCGTATTCATCAGATAGTAACATTTTCTTGTACACAGAAATCTCATATATCTGGTACTTAAGTGTTCTTTTGGTTCAGTAAGACCTATTGGGCCAACGGTTGATTAGAAATGTTATGGTTAAGGCTTATATATATAGTTACTAGCTAGTACATGAAATCTTGGATATCTGGTACTAAGGATGCTATATATATATAAGGATACTAAGAATGCTATATGTATAAGACAAATGTTTAATGAGGAACTATTTTATGAATGCTTCAAATGATGTATTTTTGGAAAGAAATTGTAAGATAAAAGTTTGTTAAAATGTAAAAAAAATGTAGGAGTATGAAGGATAGGTTTAGCTTTGGATTGATATTTGAATGAGAATAGTAAATGTTGAAAACAAATAAATTAATTCTTTGAATATATATTTTTGAATGTTTGTAGAAATAGATTAAGATTTTTATTTGCAATGAATGGTGTTTTTTTAGTTATTTTACAATCATAAGGATAAGTATCCCAAGAAAAATTATATATTTATATTTAAGAATATTGTGATTTTATTTGTATTTGATTTATTGTAGACGAAAGTTTCACAATTTTAATATGCATTACTTAAACATGTACTTAATTCAAAGAAAATACTACATGAACACTTTCTATTCATTATTTAAGAACTCCAATTTTAGTATCAAAAGAAATCGCCTTTCGTTTAATTCCAGTTTTTGATGTTGTTGCTATTTCTTACACCGTAATGTTACAAAGTTATTGAATACTAGCAAAGCAATTGTATTGCAATAATTTGTGAGAACATTTTACCAAAAATTTTATTCTCTAAAGTTCAAAGACTGGTAGGGCCATTTCAACTTCATGAATTCCCGATTTAAACTTCGTGAATTCCCGTTTTCATCATATGGAATTCACAATTTCAGCTTCATGAACTCACGTTTTCAACTTCACAAATTCACGATTTCAACATTTCAACTTAATGAATTCACGATTTCAACTTCACGAATTCATAATTTCAACTTCACAAATTCACGATTTCAACATTTCAACTTCATGAATTCACGATTTCAACTTCACGAATTCAACTTCATGAATTCACTATTACAACTTCACGAATACACGATTTCAACTTCACAAATTCACGATTTCAACTTCATGAATTCACGATTTAAAGTTCATGAATCGTGAATTCCTGAAGTTGAAATCGTGAATTTATGAAGTTAAACTTGTGGATTTTGAAGTTGAAATTGAGAATTCATAGAGCTGAAATCGGGAATTCATGAAGTTGAAATGTTCCCACCGGTCTTTCGTACTTGAGTCATAAATTACCTGTGCAATCACTCGGCTGAATAGTTATCGGATAGCGGTATTTATATGCTGATCTTAAATCGAGCGCATCCCACTATTTCAAGTATAACAATGTTTTAACCGAAGTTTATGTGTTTTTCGTTGTTTGGGACTTGAAAAATGATTCACTTTAGCCAAAAATTTGTTTTTAGTGAGTACGTATTAAACAATGTGATTTAATATAAAATAAAGAAGGAATAGGTCGGGGATTGGCAGGCAGGGCCAATTTTGGCCCAAGAGTTATAATTTGAACGATCTTGGCAGAGGTCCACTACACTTTGTTTCATGCCAAATATCTAATCTTTAGTCTATGTCAATTAAGATTTCAAGATTGTTTTTAGAGTTTTAATTATTTTACATACATATAAGTGTAGATAAGGTTAAATTTAGCAAAGTTATCTTTTTAGAATGTTTACGGTAGTAATCTCCTTTAAAGGCCAAACCAAATCTTTTGTGGTGTTATGTGTTCATGTTTGTCTTTTTTTGTCATTTTGTTATGGGTTGCAAGTTGAGTGATGGATGATTGATTTTGGTATGCAAGTTATATTTAGATGATTTGGTTCTGGGATATCTATTCTTTCTTGGTAACTGATCAATCCTTTCATTGCATTTAAGGCAGTAACATCTTGTTCATTCAAAATATATACTATTTCTTTATAGAAATATTGATAAGTTTATTATTATTCATAATTATTGTTTTGAAGATCTCATCTATTTAAAACCTGGTATGTATATATTTATTTTAATTGTATTTGTGAAATGTTTATCTGTTTATAAGGTATAATTATATTGTAATTATTGTAATTGTGAAATATGCAATTCATGAATTTTCTATTGTATAATATTTCTGTTTGTTATTTGTATAATAATCATTTTATTTTGTTATAGGTTTCTTCTACACCTGAATAAATTTAGTAAACACCACACACTGTTGTTTTGCTGAAGAAACCTCAACTACTACATAAGGAAAACTTATGACCCCTGGTGCAGGGCCAATTTTGACACAAGATGCAAAATTTGAACAACTTTGGTAGAGCACCAATACATGATATTTTATAATACTGCACGTTTGTAACGTCACTTTTCATTGGATACTCATGATGTTTATATAGTTTTACATACATGGCTGCTGTCAATCCATGAAGAAGTCTCATTTTTTTCTCTAAAAAAGGTAGTTTGCTGTTATAAATATTGACCTGACAGGTTATATGACCGTATATAAACAAATGTTTGCAATATAAACCTCACCTAGTGGCTTGGGTTTTATATCCAAACAACCGTTAATAAAGGACCTTTCACCTGTCAAAAATCTATATAACTAATAATATACCAAAGATCAAAGCTCTATTAGCCTTGTATTTTCAGACGAGAAGTTTTTTAGTTTTTACTATATGTCGATAGTGAAAATCAATGACTCACGGGGCGGTGTCAATTTGACCACAGGGCTAAAATTTGAACAATCTTTGTAGAAGTTTACCAGACAATGCCTTATGCAAAATATCTAAGCTTTAGGCCTTGTGGGTCTTTACAAGTAGATTTTTAAATTTTTTCTTATAATTCCTTTTGGTTGCCACAGCAACCAGATTTCTGCATGGAATAAAATTATTTGAACAACTTTGGAAGCACTTCCCACAAGGAACAATTCTGCAAAGTTTGGTTGAAATTGGACAAGTGGTTTTTCACAAGAAGGTTTTTTAAGTTCACAACTGTACACTTAACAAATCTTATAAGTGTGCATGTATAAATGGTGTCATATGTGTGCCATTTTTTTGTAACATATTGCTGAAATTTTCAATAAATACAGTTGAGAGACATGATATAATATTCCAATTATTAAACTTCATAAGAAACACAAATTCGATGAACATGCTGAATAAATGAGATATTGCGTTATAAGCAAATGTCACAAAATAAATGTATCTTTGAAAATTATTCTAGTATTGTATGCCTGTCCTAACTGTTGATCACAGCTTGGCTTAAATGTTGTCGTATGGATGTGAATCAACATATTTCATAATAGTGGAGTTTATTTATTCATTATTGGACAATTTTCGCATATTTGTAGGCGATGGTATGCGGCACTGCACCAAAACTTCTTATGAGGGTGTTCATTTCACATCGTATAGTTTCTATTGCATTTAAGTATAGCTAGAAATTTTGGTGATATTCCATTAGCTTATGTTCAGAAAGATTGTTGGCGCTTTGGACGTGTGACTATCTGTTATATGGCATCCTGTAGAAACTGCAATCATATGTTGTTCTTAAGACATTGATAAAACCTTAGTATGAGGTTCATCATATCGGTGGTGATTGGCACTGGGATAACCGTTAATGAACGTTAGTGATAGCAGTTTTCCTGAACTTCCCTGTGGATTGCAAATTTCAGACAATCGCCTAGTAACAAACCAAGATTTCTTAAAACTAAAAAATAACACAAAATCATGCTTAAAATGATAAATCAAACTGCTGTGTTGCTTTTTAAGTCAAGGTAGGCATACGTTGATTTAGAACAAAAATCACAGATGTAATAATTTTTGCGACATTTAGTTCTTACGCACCATCCAATTTATTGGGCATGTGAGTTGAATTTGTGTTTGTTATGAAATTAAATAACTGGAATATCATACCATGTCATTTAACTGTATTTGTGGAAAATTTCAGCATGATAAATTTGATAAGGTCAATATTAATTGACTCACATTATATAATGTTTATACATGCACACTTATAACATTTGTTAAGTGTATATCATCTATATAACACACAGACACACACACACGCACACCCACACACACACATACACACACACACTAGGGTGAATTGCTATACTATTGCCACCAGATAGAAATCATAATATTACTTCTACATTTCTTTAATTGTAACCACTGAAAATATAAAAGTGTTTTTTCATCAGTGGTCCGTTCCGATCTTTATTGGTTTTAATTTCTTGAAATATCATTATTTCATGGAAAGACATTTTTTCTTAAAATTGTTCAGGTTATTTACTACCGGGTTTTTTATTGCTTTATAAATAGCATAATGTTAAAGCAAGCCTTTGTTAACACTTAAAACTTTGTATTTAAAGAAGGTTCATCGATTTGTTAGTTAAATGTGGACTTTGGAACGACATTTTAACAGATAAAGATACAACTGTGTAATGAAGTGGGACGGTCTTTTTTGTCATTGGCAACAGAAGTCGGGTAAACCTTTACACATAACTTAGCAATAATTGGAGGTGATAGTTTTACATTAGACAGGAATAAATTAAGTAAATCTTGAGAACTGTGATTAAGTGTTGCTGTAAATAATAATGTTTTAAAATGACTCTGAAACAAAATTAAGACAGCTTTATTGATGAATAGATCAGTTCAGATAACATATTTGAATAACATTTCTACAAAATGGCTACTGGTAAACAAATAGATACGGATATTCTTTCCGATGAAATATTTGATGTGTTATGTTCAATATGTAAAAATAAAGGGAAAACTACTGAAGGTGAAAAATTCTGTGTAGACTGTAAGGATTATTTCTGTATAACCTGTGTTCAAATACATGGTCAAGTGCCTCTGTGTGCTGGTCACAAGGTACTGGATAAATCTCAAGGTAAGTCAGGAACCAGCAACGTTCTGCCGAGGGCACCAACAGAGAGATGTGACAGACACAGTCATAAACACATTGATATGTACTGTCAGAACCATGATAATGTTGGCTGTTCTACATGTATGGCAGTTGATCATAGGTAAAATTTAATATATATACAGTGTATAAACATAGATTATTTTTTCAATTAAAGTTATATTATGCTCATTTTTCGTTGCCAAGTTGAGCTGAATTAATTATCTATTTTACATGATAGACTGTTACTGGTGATTGACCAACAGTTGCTCAGGATAAAACATAAATCTGCCAGAAATATAAAAAAAGACTGCCCCACTATCTTTATAAATTGAATGTTACAGGAAATTTCGATGGATTTTTATATACCCTTAGATGAACATAATGTCACTTAAATATACAGAATGTTAAATAAGTACTTAAAAGTCTTAAAATAATATTGTATCTTAAATACTAATATGTAGAATAGAATAAAATATTTAATATTACCTCCTCAGTCATTTCATAGCCTTATATTCACAAACTGTCTTAAATTATTTTTCAGATTATGCAAGGACACTTTCTACATACCAGAATTTATCCAAAACAATACTTACCAAGTTGAAACTAGAGAGATTCAAACAAGACTCAAGGAAATAGCCAAGACCTTTGCAAAGCAAGATGATATATTTAAACAAGATAAACAAAGGCTGCTACAGAGGAAAGCAGAAATACTGGCTGATATCAGAAAATTCCGACAAGAAATCAATGGCCAACTTGACAAGCTGGAGAAAGTTCTATAGATGAGATAGAAGAGAAAGTGAAAAGACAAGATTGAAGATAGTCTCAAACAGATACAAGCAAACAAGTCCAGGATTACATCAGCTAATGATAAATTAGCATTTAAAAACACAAATCAATCTGAAATGTTTGTTCATGTTAAGATGGCAGAGGATGCCGCAAATGTTGCCAACAAATACATTGAAGATGCGAAATATAAAAGGAATGTGAAAGGCATAGATTTTCAAACTGATAGAACAATTCTTACACAGCTAAGACAAAAGAAGACCCTAGGAACACTAACAGAGAAACTTACAAAGACTCCTGTCACTTTATTTCAGATTAAAGGAAATACTTTATTTCAGATTGAAATTAATATATTACATGTATATTGTTGTAGATCAAGTGATTTTCGTATCACCAGTGCCTGCTGTATGGAAGATGGTACAATAATTCTAGCTGATGATCACAAAGATCTTAGACGGTTAAACAGTTATAATTACACTGTCACTGACTACTGTGATCTACCCGAGTATCCACATCAAGTATGTATGATTAATAACACAGAGGTAGCTGTAACTGTTCCATCACAAAATGAAGTTCATTTCATTTCTCTTACTGGAAAAATGAAAACAACAAGCAAGATTAAAACTGATTTTGAATGTTATGGTCTTGCATATGCAAAAAATAATATATATATTTCAGACAGTCAGACATCAGTATATATGTATAGTTTGAATGGTAGGAAACTTAAACAGTTCAGTAAGGATCAATCAGGACAAAAGCTGTTCATTAACATAACAAGTCTAGCTGTCAGTAAGGATGGTACAAGGATTTATGTTGTTGACCTTTATAATGGACTGATAGTACTGGACAACAATGGTCAGGTTATTACATCATTTAATGATGAACAATTAAAGGCGCCTAGATGTGGTTGTGTCACTGAAGCAGGTAGTGTGCTGGTATCTGGACGTAATAATGTTTTACAGTTTACATGTGATGGTAAGCTGATAGGAGAGGTTATGAAAGCTGATTGTAGAAAAAGGGGAATATTGTCAGTCTGTTGTAATCAACAAATGACTAAGATGTATATAAGGAGAGAAGAACATTACAAATTTGAAGTGTATGATATCTGAATAAAAACCTTTAAAGAACATCTTGATTCATATGTAAAATTTAATATTTAGACAATGTAAAAAGAAAAACACAGTCACTTAAATAATTTGATTGTGACAAGTATATACATGTTCAACATGTTATGATACTACTGAAGTTTAGCTCATTGTGAATCAACATTTGTACATGAATTGTGTTGTAGAAATTTATTTGATTTATCATATACATTGTATTCTTGCATTATGATTTATATATAGAGGATATTGAATGAGTGTAGTTTAATACTAAATTTATTGAACGAGTTGAATAAAATCATATTATGCGAGCCTCTGGCGATATATTATGTTTTTTTTTAAAATTGTATGTTGTGCAAATCATCAGAAACTGTCTTTATGAGTGAAATAAATGTAGAATTTAAACACATCTATATTTGGATTTCATTTCTATGACTTAGTTGCGTAATTTTATCTGCTTTCCTCCTTTTAAACTACATGCAAAGTGTACTGTAATTATCTTAAATACACGCAATGCAAAAATTGTCTGTTAAAAAATGTTTCACAAGTTGGGACAGTCAGATAGTTGATCAGAATTAGTCTGGCTTCATATAATAGGTGTGAAATTCTGTCAGATATGTACAATCGGGACCAAAATTTACTTGGAAAAATAGTAGGTATTGGGATATTGCATTTGATATATATTGACTCGCTATTGGTCAACTAGTATTAGCCACTAGCTGATAAGCCCCACCTTAATTCAACTGGCATCACCTCTCTGTAGTAATGATTAGTAAGTAAATTTAGAAACCAGACAGCTGCGTTGTTTAATCTCTCTACCCATGCTTGTCCAGTAACTATGATATAGCAGACATTACAGCATTTCAAATAATAAACAGGTCAGCCAAACTACTATAAAAAAGCAATTATCATAGTATTGCAAGCAATCCATAAGTCCCCATAAGAACCCCATCAACATTCTGAAGGGCCATTGGCCATTCACTAGTGTTTCAATTTTTCTCTATTTTAAGTAAATTTGTTGAAAAGTTCTTTTAAAAAGATCACAGGAAACAGTTTTTATGAACAGAAAGACAGACGGACTGAAGGACACTCTAAAGTTAATATTTTAAACATCCCTGTTACCAAAATATAACATTTTAAAAGCAAAATTCTTGAAGAGGAGATAACTTTTTGAATTAAAGATGCAATTTCATAAAAATTTTCAGCTCTTTTTGACTAATCACAAATATTGTTATATTTGCCATGTTTTAAGCCTATTTGTTACCAAGGCAACTGATATTTTTTCAAAATAGGAAGAACAGATAAGACATGCATAATCTCAAGACTGCAATCCACCCATATGTCAAGTTTCATAAAAATATTTCCAGTACTTTTTGAGTTATCACTGGATTCAGTTTATGTGTAAAATTTGCCATATTTTCAGTCTATGTGTTGCCATAGCAACCAGAATTTTCATCATAAGAAGAAAAGAAAAAGACGTGCATAATCTCAAGACTGCAATCTACCTATATGTTAAGTTTCAAAAAAAATATTTCCAGTTCTTTTTGTGTTATCGCGGGATCCAGTTTATGTGTAAAATTTGCCATATTTTCAGCATATTTGTTGCCATAGCAACAAGAATTTTCAACATAGGAAGTAAAGAAAAAGACGTGCATAATCTTCATACTGCCATCTACCAATATGTCAAGTTTCATAAAATTATTTCCAGTATTTTTTTGTGTTATCGCGGGATCAAGTTTATGTGTAAAATTTGCCATATTTTCAGCCTATTTGTTGCCATAGCAACCAGAATTTTCAACATAGGAAGTAAAGAAAAAGACGTGCATAATCTCTATACTGCCATCTATCCATATACCAAGTTTCATAAAAATATTTTCAGTACTTTTCAAGTTATCGCGGGATCCAGTTTTGTGGACGGACGGACTGACAGACAGATGGACGGACGGACGGACAGACGGACGGACGGAGGGTAAACCTAAAGTCCCCTCCGGTAAACCGGTAGGGGACTAAAAATACCGGGTATTCGAATAAAGAATAGGTGAATAACTGGGCTCGGTCTGTAAATAAAACTCAAAGGCCCATTACGCCTAATTTTCAAAAGAGGTTTATCAAGTAACAAAGTTATGAAAAGAAAAATTGCCTAAAACAAGATTGCATGTGTGAACAAGAACTGTCGGAGGACAGTAACGCTCGACTATTCGAAAATTTGTCACAAGGGTGTTTCATTGAGTATAATAATGCTTACCTATATGAATACATAAAATTGTACGAAAAGGTACAAACCCTTTAAGTTTCAATACAATCACAGAGAACAAGTGTGTGAAGTTTCAACCCATTCCCTTCAGTAGTTATGGAGATACCAGCTTACACACAAAAACTTAACCACGAATTTATGAATCGAAAAAGGGGAATAATTATGCAAAAAAGCAAATCAGAGTTATGGGACTTGTGCCAATCATCTTAGATAATCACAGAGAACAAGTGTGTGAAGTTTCAATCCATTCCCTTAAGTAGTTATGGAGATACCAGCTTACATACAAAAACTTAACCAAGAATTTCTAAGTCGAAAAAGGGGCATTTTTTTTTTGTAAAAAGCAAATCAGAGTTATGGGACTTGTGCAAATCATCTAAGATAATCGCAGAGAACAAGTGTGTGAAGTTTCAATCCATTCCCTTCAGTAGTTATGGAGATACCAGCTTACACGCAAAAACTTAACCAAGAATTTCTAAGTCGAACAAGGGGCATAATTATGTAAAAAAGCAAATAAGAGTTATGGGACTTGTGCCAATCATCTTAGATAATCACAGAGAACAAGTGTGTGAAGTTTCAATCCATTCCCTTCAGTAGTTATGGAGATACCAGCTTACATACAAAAACTTAACCACAGGGACGCCGACGCCGACGCCAACAAATGGGTGACTGCATTAGCTCGTTTATTCTACGAATAGTCGAGCTAAAAATGCTATGCCACCGCATTAATACAACACTAAATAGTAGTGTAGGAACGGATTTTTGTTCCTATACAATTGTAGATTGTCATAATGCAAAGATCCCTGACCTATCTAATTCTTATTATCAGATGAGTGGTTAAATATATTGTTATTCAAATAGAAGATCAGAGTAGGAATATATCAATGCAGTTGTGTGTAGTGAATTTGGATGGTGAAGGTCATATTTCACACAGCCTAAATTTCATGAGTACATCAAAGGACAACACAGTAAGACACTTTGTCAAAATCTAGTTCAGCTGATATCAAAGTTCACTTTACATCTGATATGTGCACATGGTTCAAATTTCATAGCTGTAAGAAAGTAGAACACATCATCCAACTAACCTGATATCAAAGTTCAATTTTACAACTAAAACTGTGTACATGGTCAAAATTTCATTGCTGTACATCAAAGGACAAGAAAGTAGGTCACTGTCCCCTTGGGCAAGGCAAAATTTTGACCATAGGGTTTAATTCAAAACAATCTTGATACAGGTCCACCAAACAACATTTTATGTCAAATATCTAAGCTGTAGCTTTCTCCAATTTAGCTTTCTCTAATTCAGAAAACATTTGTTTTAGTTTCTGTTTTTACTATGTTTACATAATGAGAATCAATGCCCCCGGGCAGGGCCAATTATGACACCAGGGAAAAAATTTGAACAACTTTGGTAGAGGACCTAAAGATGATATTATAAAGCAAACATGAAAGCTCTATGCCTTGTACCTTCAGACAAAAAGATTTTTGATTTTTTTACTATATGTACATAATGAAAATCAATGACCCCGGGGCGGTACCAATTTAGACCCCAGGGCTATAATTTGAACAATCTTGGTAGAGGTTCACTTCACAAAGTTTCATGTTTAATATTTAACCCCTAGCCTTTGTCAATTCCGAGAAGAAGATTAAAGTTTTTACTT